TCAGGTCTCGAAGCAAAAAAAGTATTTAGTCGAATCTTTTTCTCTCATTTGTAGTACTCGTCGAGCTCTAGAAAATACCATCAAATATATTTTTGCCGCTATTGTACCTGTATAAAATGTACGGACCTGAATGGACTCATTGTCGTGAGTTTAGAAATACTTTTAGACCTGTGGGGATCTTTCGAGGGCCTCGAGAAAACTGTTTGGATTTACATTAGATTACGAACCTTACACATCAAATCATAGAAAAATTCACAAAATATTTCAGGTAGTCCCCTAGCGAAGGAAAGGCGTGAGCATTGTCTCGGATTCAAACGTCATGGAAGGTAGTTCGCAGAGACAAGTTCCTAAAGTCAAGGGACCGAGTGAGAGCAGACGAGTGTTACCTTGTAATTTTCAACTTGTTGGAAAATTGAATTCGATTTTCTAAGAAATACAATGATGAATATTGACGAATCACGAGCAATATTCAATATTCAACTTGGCATATAAAGAGGCATATAGAAACAACCACAGCCATGAACAATGAGTGCGGACCCAAAAAATTGAAAGGTATCGTTCGTGAAACTTCGTCGGTTGGAACTTAACGGGGAGAGAAGATTTTTTCAAGAAACTGCTTGTCTAAGTCTATCTTGTTCATCAAAAACTATTTCTATCTCATGAGCGGTCGATGCTGATTAGATTTTTATTTATCGATGGCCTACACACTTGCCAAAGAGGTGTCTCTTGTCTTTATTCTCCCATGTGTAAAAAAATTTGCGCATACGGCTTAGCATTTTTGTCTCCAAATGAGAGTTTAGCTGCTGTGTGGTACTTTAGTTTCTTCCAAAAATGTGAATTTTGCCAACAGCTTTAAGGGTAGCTCTCTGCGCCTCTTTTTTCACCTTGTTGCCCAATGCGAAGCACACGGTCCGCTCGAGTTCAAATTTATTCCAGAGACAGAAGAGCGAAAAAAAGAAATGAATGTATTTTTGTTCAGAATTTTGTGACATGATCTTCTGTGGATTTTCTAGAAAACTCTAGTTTTCATCCAGTCACATTATGACCCCTCGAAAAAGTGATCCGATCGAGTTGAATTTTGACCACAGATACTCCAGACCCTATCTGAGAATGAAAAAAGGAAAGTATATTTTTCGAAAAAAATTTTCATTCTGAGATAGGTTCTGGAGTATCTGTGGTCAAAATTTAACTCGATCGGACCACTTCTTCGAGGGGTCATAATGTGACTGGATGAAAACTGGAGTTTTCTAGAAAAACCATGTATGTGCTCTGCACTGGACAACAAGGTGAAAAAAGAGGAGGGTACCCTTAAAACGTGCATTTTGTTTTAATCTCTTTTATTGAAGTAAGAGGAGAAAATCCAAAAAATACAAGCTACAAAAGCGGATCGAGGGTCCATATTTATGTGGTCACCGTAAAAAGAAGCACAAACAAACACTTGACTGTTACAGATTCGCTAACCCATACTAAATAGTACAAGAGGACGTGCATTTTTAATACAAGATTGTTATGATTCACAATTCAGTTGTCTATACAGATATTTTACAACGATTATTACGTTTAGATCTTAAAATTAAATCATCAACTTTTTTTTATTGCCGTTATTAATCGACTCAGATTTATTTTTCTATTATTCTTTATTAAATATACAGACTTTACTTTTCCTTCAAGTATTAAAACTGTTTTTTTTTTACTTTTTTATTAATGTTACATGATTCGTAATATTTATTTTTGTTGTTGAGATTTGTGGGTCTGAAGTGAAAGAATTAAAAGATGAAGAATAATAATGACTCAAAACGATACTTCGACACTGACTGCGTACTTTGACACCTTTGCATAGCGAGCGAAATGCTTCTTTTTAACTCTATTTTCTTCTAAGACGATCGTTCTTTCTCATCGTCTGGAAATTCCTCAGCGATTTTCTAGATTTTAGAAATTAATCAAACTTTTCGAATTTTGAAAAGTACATATATAAAATCACCAAGGAATTTCTAGATTCTAGAAAATTGAATTTCCGATAATGTAGAAAATCACCGACGATTTTCCAGATTGTTGAAAATTCGATTTTCTGGAATCCAGAAATTCCCCGACGATATGGACTTTTTGAAATTCACCGGAGATTTTCTATACATTATTTCCGACTGTACATTGTACCTTCTTGTGAAATCCTGTTGCAAGAAAAATATTATGAATTCTCAAACCATACTCGTTCTTACATATATACTCTGCTGCAGTAGAAGGTTTACTCTCAATTCGTCCCATGACGCTTTTTTTCTCAGTTCGTTCCATCAACACTTCTCTCTCAATTCGTCCTATACTGGTTTACACTTAATCAGCTTTAATATAATTGTCTGTACCTCTTGCGTACGGTGATACATATGACTGTTGTGGGTGAATAAACAGTTATATTGGACAAACAGCGGGCGAGAGCTGAAAAGTGAAAACAAGAACATAAAGATACTTTTCGAGGTATTAGATTTTCAAGGATTCTACGACTAAATAATGGACTAAGTTAAGTTATATGATTGTGTTCTTTACATGTGTTTCTTTTTCTATTGTTTCTGTGCTTAAAACGAGAGGAAAAATTTTGTGAATATGTTTTTGGAATAGGTAGTGTTACACGTTCATTGCACGTTTGCACTCTCTTACATGTTTTTTCATATTATCAACAGTAATATGAACGAAGACTTTGGCAGTATCTGATCTGCATGTGTGTGCTGATTCATTCCATAAAATTCTCACATTGTCTGTACATAATGATATTGCACTTGAACACGGTCAATCCCGACACCGCCATTGACCATTTGTTTTGTTTGCTCGTTTTTGGTGTATTGATACCCATTATGATTCAAAACTGGTTTGTCTTTTTCAGTAGACGTGAAAATTAACATTTTTTTTATGAACAAATTTGTGACAGAAGTGACTAATACGGTACATTTTGCCACGTACACGCACCTAGTATTGTCTACGATATCCACCGTAACTGTTCGATGGTACAACACTTTATTTATTTTGAGGCCCGTGCATAGATATCTGGGACGAATTGAGAAATAAAATTCTGGGACGAACTACGAGAGAAGTGTTGATAAGACGAACTGAGAAAAAAAGCTTCATGGGACGAATTGAGAAGTCAATTTGGGACGAACTAAGAGGATACCCATTAGGGTGCATCTCCTTCTTCTGAATTCTTATTCTCTTGCACAATTTTATAAGCTTGCATTATTTCTACAGAGTGATAAATCAATTCACGTCATTTTAGTTTATTTGTTGTACTCCTTCAGTTCTAAGCTTCAAATTTCTTAATATCTTCAGGGATCTTATTATTCGATTATTCCTTAACATCTTAGTGACATTTTTTAGAATCGGCAAAATAGGCACTTACTGTCTAACACCATTTCATGACTTATTTAGTATTAGCGGTGTTACTCAAAAGACAAGGAAATTCACATTTTGCAATGTTACATTGTTCTAATCGTTCACCCCGTCATTTTTAATAACTTTTATTTTATTCAATTTCAAACAAACATATCACAAATGTGTACATGTGTACTCATCAATCTTGAGTATTGAGGAAGAGCATTACATACAGAATATGTAAATATGCTCAAGAAAAAATATCCTTAATGAAGATTTTCAGATTATTGCCACTGGAAACACACCGTGTATATCAAGGCTACGGTAAACCAACTAATCGTTGTTAAATAGAAGGAATACTGGTGTTTAATCTCTCTTAATCCGTCCAATACGTATTTTATTCATTACAATTATTTGTTAGAGAAGTTATATTCCATAATTTAAGCAATAAATCAATGAAAAATTATTTATTAGTGACCGTATTCGTCAGATATAGTTAATATATCAATATCCATTGACAATTTGTGAACGTGTGTAGAAAATATTAAAATATAGGAGATCATGGTGATGTTCTACTACCACTTTAGTGTGAGTAAGAGTAGAATTCATAATCGATGGTATAAATATCAAATTTATTCTTTAGATGATGTTAATAATTACCGTTTGTTTACATTATTATTATTAAATATCATATTCATGATATAAATGTGGTTAATATCAATGTATTTTTTAATTATCATTATTTTATTATTTGTGTAACGTTCAATAATCTACTTAAATCTGCTTAGTATTATATGCCGTTTGTTTTTGATGCTGCAGTAGATATATAAATTTTTTTATTTTTAAATATTTAATATTCAAATTTTTATTTACCGAACTTAGTAGATACCATACAATCGTATACAAAAGAACTTGATATAGTTGCGTTATTTAGTAAGACAAATACTTAATCTTTCATTATTTATTCTACTTAACAGAAATAAAAAATTTATTCCGATATACAAATAGAAATTATACAAAAAAATAAAGATCTTATTGACCCAGTTGGGTATTTATTGGAATATGATTATGTTAACATATGTATGGTACGTTGAGAACATCCACCAGCATTGCTAAACACGGCACTTTGATAGAATCGAGTATATTCGAACAAGATGTTATTGTGCAGTTTGTGAACATTTCAATAATCGTCAATCAAAATACACATTCATTACGAAAAAAACCTTATCGAAAAAAAAAACAGCTATTAAGAAAAAAATTAACGATTAATCACGGTAAGATTAGTTAGTCATTTTTAAAGATAATGAACCGATTTTTTGAAAAACCTTAATGTTTAATTCTTGAATAATTTAAAAAAATATCAGTCTACCTGAATATATTGATAAAAAAAAAAAGGACTCTATTTATTATACTGCGATTATCAATTTTATGAGTATTCAAAAAGAGATTCAGAAACAGGAGAAATTAACAATGCTTCCATCGTAAAAAAAAAGATAAAGCATGAAATGAATAGATATTACTCTCACACACGCATACACACATACAGAGAAAACATATTATTCAGTTAACAAAAGAAGAAGAATAATAACGAAAGAGAATATGACTGTTGTTTTATTTTAGTATATTGTTCACACAATTAGAGAGCCCTATGTTGCTGATGGTGCCAATAATTTTCTTAGATGATCATCAGCTAAACAACCGTTAACAAATTCTTCTTTGGATAATTTTTTGTCAGAATTTTTATCCATTTTTGAAAATATTTGTTCAACTTTACTTTCAGGGTTATTTGAACCTTTTTTCTCTTCACCAAGTAAATCATAAATGGCCTATAAAAATATAAAATTATTTAAATCAAGAAAATATATATGTAATTATTACTTACATCCATTATTTTTTTCATCTCCTTTTTCTCGATAAATCCGTTACGATCAATATCTATATAAAAAAAAAAATGAAGAAATTCTCGTTTACTAAACTTTTAAATCTCAATTCTAATTTATTTCTCAAATATTAATTTAAACGGCAGACTACAGAATAATTCAGATTTTAATATTAGTTCTATTATCTTTAAATTCTCATATATTTCGTTTATTTTCCTCTATGTGTACATACCATACATAGAAAATGCCCATTCTAACTTCTTTTTGGGATCTTGTTGAGCTGTGATTGAGATGGCAATAAGAAATTCCCCAAAATCTAAAATAATCATACAACAAAAAATATTGCTGAAAAAAAATAATAATAATAATTTTTCTCGTTTTATTATTATACACTTGAAGTGTACGTATTCTGATATACTTTTTTTGAACAATACAACAGAGAAATTTTTAATAATTCAAATGATAATTGTAGTGATGAAATTGCTTATTCAAAGCAGAACTATTACAATTGATCTTAATCTTATCATCGATGAATAGTAATAAATACGTCAAAGTGATTGATTATCAATGATTTAGTGATACAAAACAAAAATTCGCTAAATTCCCTGAACACATATCCATTCACTTCTTTTTTTTGTTTTTTTTCTCGTTTTTTTTTTGATTCAAAATATGAATACTTCTCAGTTTGAAATAGAAAAATCTTACCAATATTGCCGGATGAATCTGTGTCGAATGTTCTGAATAAAAAAGACAAAAGAGATCTTAATACAATATGTTTGGAAATATTACATTTGAGACATATTTCGACTAGTCACACTATCTTCATTCTCTTCTCGCTGTATCCGACATCTATTATATTCTCAAAATAAGAATTATTTATGAAGATCCAGGACAGAAATATTGATCTTAGTTGAAAACATGTTCAGACATAGAAGGAAATCTTTAAAATAAAAAACATTGAGCTAATTACCTGAACACATATTCACAAAATTTTTCTGCTTTTCCAGAGGGATAAAATTGCTAGAAAAGAAAAATAGATAAATAAATAATAATTGAATAATGTTACTAATAATAAAATGATACTAACTTTATAAACTTCAATAAACTTTTTCTTGTTTAATTTACCACTAGGACAATCTTTCTATAACGAAGAAAAAAAGAAGAAGAATAGAATCATCGAGTCTGAATTAATAAAATAAACAAATAAAGAGATCGTATATATTTGCGTTCTTTTTATGCAATTAACGCGTTCTTATTCCATACACTTATGCGCATGATATTTGGTTATGTATCAATCACACAGATATAAAATAAATGAAGAGTAAATTTGCTACATTAAACTGAATGACAAAGAGAAGAGAAGAAGAAGAAGAAAAAAAAACATCAACTCATTCAATATATAGTTGTAATTTGATTTTGAAAAAATGCAAACGATACGAATAAGGATTGATTTGATCCAAGAAAAAACTTCCACTCACACACAATTTGAACTCAATGAAAAAAAGAAGAAGAAGAGAATAGAATCTACTCAAAAACTTATTCAAGCGTATTAACGTGTGTTGAAAGCATCCCATTCTCCGATATAATCATAAAAACAGCAAAAATTAGTCAGTCATTGGTTAAACTTCTTTTTATTTCTAATATAAAAAGAGAAAAACAAGTCGAGGGAATACCGATTTGGGATTAGAAGTAGGATTAAATTTATAGGTCATACATAAAAGTATGATGAAAAATGATTAAATAATATCAGATTAATGAAATAGTTGGGTGTTTTATTTCTCTGGTTAGGACAACGTTCGAATTCTTCAGAGTGCTGAATTTCTAAGTCATCTACATACAAAATCAGTCAAAAACGTTTTATTATCTTAAATAGCTATACAATCAATGTAAATATATTTTTTAATTCTAACGGTAACCAACACATGTTTCCGGATATATAAAATTTTAATAATTTAAATTGCATACAATCTTCTTCATCAAAGCTTTTTAACAAACCGTCACTTATAGAAAAACAAAAATAGATACGCTCTTGTGTTTCAACTCGCAACAGCAAACAATGATTAAAAATTTATTGTCAAAAAGTTCTCTACTCAATTTTATTCTATAATACAAAAAAGTTGTAAAATTCATCTTATTTCTCGTTTTTATGATCTTTAAAAAAGTTTTATTTATTTATTTATGTGAGAGTTTTCTTTTTAACAGTTAAACTGTTATAGTCAACAATAAAGAACTACTATAACTCTCTTTTATTATTAAATTGTATGCTATTTTCACTAAAAGTGGATAAATATCAAAAAAATGTAATTAATGTTAATATAAACAAGGAAAACTGAAATATAAGTTTAATCTTTGACGTTTATAGATTAGAAAATAATAAAATAGATAATATGTTCAAAAACATCTCTGTATGCGACTAATTTCTTTTATTTACGAAAAAGAGAAAAGGAAGCAAAAATTAATGCAAATTGTTCTGTGATTGAATTTTCTATGCTTCGATCGATAATTGGTTTGTATGTACCGGATATCTCATAGACTAGAAGTCAAGAGGGAGAAAAAGAGAGAGAGAGAGAAGCAACACTCAAAGTTCACAATTTTAGAATGAATAAAATAAAATTTGAGTTTAAACAGTTGAAACAATCATGTTAACATGATCCATACTATCCAATAACGGATACTGATATTTGTTTTTATACTCGCACAATACTGTTTATGTTATATTATAAAAATTTAACATTTTTTTGATAAACATATGAATGAGAAATTATACTTGTCTCATATATCAAATATATGTTTCATATTTTAGTGTAATATAACAGTGAAGCGACAGTAACAATTCCTCATTGAAAAAAGATCAATATAAAAATCTTAATTTTTTATAATCCAACTTGACTCTATGAAGAAATGGAATTAAATAGTAGACAAATTAGATATAGCAACAAATGTGAAACAACAAAGACAAAAAAAAAACTAGTCATTGACACAATTTTGTATTTGTAAAGAAAAAAGTATAAATATATATAAAAAAGATAAAACTCTTGAGGAGAATATAGAAGAGTATCTTGATAATATAAGTGTGTAAAGTAGGCGATGCCGAGAAGAAAAAATGATGAAAAGTGTATATCTGTTAACATAATGACTAAGGGGACTCTTTTTTAAAATATGATCAATGTACCAGGATATGCCTCCATAGGGTAAGAAAAAACTAATAAAAACAAAAACTAAAAATAGAATTCAACAGATTAGAGAGCAAGAGGATAGTATTGCGTAAAAAAAAGAGATTTGTTATATTTTTCTCACAAAATAGGATAAAAAGATTTAATTCATAAGCTGTCGTCTCATTCTAACTTTCATAAAGTGGAGTATTTAAAAATAAAGATAATTTAAAAGACAAACATGCCCTTTATAGTTGTTATCTGCATCATTGTATGAAAATATGGTATGAATCATATTGTGTTATCGTCAATTAGTCATATAGAAACTATAGTTTAATAAATAAAATGCAAAACTTACTAAGAAGCCAGAGTGCCATTCTCGAACTTGATCTTGTGTAAATCCCGATAAACGTGATAATTCTTCAAGATTACTATCGCTTAATGTTTTGCCAACGGGAGGTGAATTACCCATGTTTATCTTCAACAAAAAAATGAAATACAGACGACGACAAAGACGGATATCTATTGCCACATAAACATATACATACTTCAAAGAAAATATGTAATGAGTGAGTATGAGAGTATGACACATGAATTATTTTTTTTTTCCTTCTTTTTTTTTTTTTCTTACTATATTGGACTTCCGTTAAAAACAAAAAAAATGAATGAGAGAGAGCATACAATTTCGGCATAAAAAAAAGCATTAAAAAACTCTTCTCGACAAGTTTTATTTTTACGCATGTTTTAATTTGACTTTTGTTCGTTCTTAATAAAGAAGCGATGAGTTTTAAAACAATTATTTCATTAAATGAATTGAACTTTCTTACTCTTCAATTTTTAAAGTTACATAAGTATGTCGTTTAATACAGCGGGAATGCTGTGAGAAGTAAAGTGAACAGCTCGATAATATAGGGCACACAAAGAAATAACAACGTGGATGGAAAAAAAAAAAGTTCTACAGTTGACCTGAAATTATGAAGAATAAAGAGGAAAGAAAATAAATTTTGCTCTTTTTTTTTTTTTTTATTTCATCGAACAGATGCACGGCAATGAATATATAAATTTTTTTTTTAATTGTTCTTCGATCATGAAGAGAGCAGAAAGATTCGTGTGTGTAGAAACAACAATATTATCATAAATACATATTGAGGCTAGAGACACTCTCTCTGGGTTTTTTTTAGTACTAAACGAAGGACAAAACAAATAAATTTTAAAGTTATTAGTAAAAACAGATTAAATCGATCACAATATGATTAATTTTGAATGAGAATGTTAATGTGAAGATGTACAATGTATTATTTCAAGGAATTTCAATTATTGTACTCTATCATAAGAGAGATTTTGACATAAAATGTCTCTAGTCTACGTGTCAATCTTCTAAAAGAATAACGAACAAATGAGAGTTTATTCATATAATCATTATTTCTAATAAGTTAAAGACAATTTCTATGCTGTTTGATTTTTTTTTTTTTTTTTATTCATGAAGATAGTAGTAGTTCAACTCTTATTTGAAAAGAAAAAAAAAAAAAAGTAACAAAATAAGATGAATAGGTAATGATTCGAGATATGAATGAAAAAATTTTTTAGATAGAATATTGTGCTAAAATACTACCGAATATTCCACATAAAACATGATATATCAGTTTTTAGTTGAAAAAAAGATTTGTTTTCTACTTACAGGTTTTACTATTAAAACAAAATAGTATTATATCTATTACTATTAAGTATTTTCGTGACGGATTCAGTTGAATGAGTTTGAAAACATCTCTCTTTCTATGGTTGTATGTGCTTTTTTCTTTTTTTTTGCATTTCAATGATATTCTTGCTCTATGTGCAATTATCAAAACGCGCATATATAAAAAATAAGAGAGAGAGAGAGAGAGAGAGAGAGAGAGAGAGAGAGAGAGGGAGAGAGAGAGAGAGAAAAAGAACTAGAAGGATATTTTTTTTCACCTTGATTCGAATCGAAAACTATGACATCGACACACTGATTGTAGATTATCTGATGTGTGAAATTACAATTTTGACTTTGTTATGCTTGTGTAACTATTATATCGAAATTTAGAGTCAACAACTCTATAAAACGAACTATTTATTGCCAGATATTCTATTTAAACCCTAAGAACATCCGTCAATTCAATTACATTTGATTGCGTTTCTCGTTGGAAAAACGATTGTATTATTTTATAAAGTACAGACCAATTTGTAGTATATTGTGTTTCGTCTTTGAAAAGATGAATGAGATATTTGATGAAAAACTATTGAATTAATATATATTTTTTCTTCTATTCATCTGTTACTCATAAAGTTCTAAACAAAATTGCTACTTTATAGATTCTAGAGTTAAGTAAAAGAAAGTTGTAGTCGTAGAAATCAGATGTGAGAGATTTTGTGTAAAAACATTTGACCAACCTTCTAAAAGATCCTAACAATAATTCAAACTAATTTTTATAAAAAAAGAAATGTTGATGAGTAGTAATTTATGTACATTTTGTTATCTCTAACATGCAGATAAATACATATATACGACCTTTTCACAATTGTTTATTCAGTGCATCACTTATTTAGTTATAATAGTATGTGATAAAACAGGTACATGATTTAACCTTTAATCATTATTAAAAATATGTCATAAAAATTTTATTTCTGGTTGTTAAAATATCAAAACATTTAATTTAAATGAATATTTCCAATGAAAATAATAATGATAATGATATTCGACATGGTTTTATGAGATTCAAAATATTCTCTTATATTTAGTACAGATTCGAAATACATTTTGTCCATGAATATATTAGGGTGTAATCATGATTTTGAGTTTAGAATGTTATTAATAATCGAAATACTTATGACAGTGTATTATTCAAAGTTGAGTAATATTACTAATGAAAGTTTTATGCAACGACGTAGAAAGTGGGTAGAAATAGGTGTGACAACTCTCATTTTGATGTTTGAGATATTTTGTTCTAAAAATACAAAAAATTCAACTTTGCGCAGTAAAATTTTAAAACAAACTCATAAAACATCTAGATAAGCTTTTAGCCAGTTCATCCTGCTTTGAAGGTTAAGCTACATCTTCCAGTATATGCAATTTCTCTTTCCTTTTCCAATATCTTTCCCATTACAGTTCGATCAGTTACCATTTAGGTAGTGCTAAATATTTTTCACCATATTATTTTCTTAGTGAAGAGATTGCAAATTACTGTAACTATGAAAATATTTGCACGTATATACAAGCAACAGTATAAAATTCAAAGCTTATTTAATAATTATTAAAGCCAAAATATCAAAAATCAATATTTATCTTTGATAATCCGATCGTAATCAAATTTGTAGAGAATATGTGTCTTGCTCTAAATGAATGACTCGAAAAAATTTGAGCTCAAAACGCTTAGTTTTCCTATAATTATCCTATAATTCAAGTGATACACTTCGGATGGTCTCAAAACGTAGGCTAAAAGTTGTAAAAAGTTCGCGTTAAATTTTTGAAAAACTTGAGTTTTTTTAAAAATTAAGTTGAACATCAAAAAACTGTCTTGTTAAGTTATAGCATCAAGTCCCCAAACAAATGAAAAATTTCAGTCGACGTGTATTCCGACTACCGGACCAATTTTGATGGATTACCGACTAGTCTATCCATTAGAAAATGGCATTTCGACCACTAACGAGCATCGAAAACGTAAAATCGCCCAGTTGATTTACTAGTCGAACGCTACATGGGCCTTGCCATTAAGATCTTTGTATAAGAAAATAAGAAATATATCGAATATTGTAAATATTATCGCTATAATCAAGGTAGAATACAGTAAATTATTGCTTACTCTGTGCTGTATTGTCCCGTCGAATCCAAAATCGCTACGTATGCAGTGATTCATAACAGTCACGCGTATCATGAGTCTAGAAACATCGGTTAACCGATGTTTCTAGACTCGATTTGTAATGCTGAATCAGAAAAAAACTGTTTGAAAATTTTAGAAGAACGAAAACGGCAAAAATTTGAAATTTTTTGAAAATATAGCGAATTATAAAACTTTTGTATTTTTGATTTGTCTCCCATAAAGTTGTTTTCTAATAATTTGAAACCAACTTTTTCTTACTCAGCTCGACAAGCTCTATCCAACCATGTATAAATATTGCGGGAAAAAAAATTATATTCAATTTTTTAATTACCGACAATATTTATAGTTAATCTACATAATAAATGTGAACAAATTTGTTTATGAGTATATATTTTAAAACCAATATCTCTTAAGTAACTTTTGAACTCTGATATTCGTAAAAAATAATTTAGAAAATGTATATAATACATTTTCTAATATAATATGTATGTAATGTATATTTTATTATATCTTGTTTGGAATAAATTTTTTAATATAATAAAAGAATTTTTAGCTTTAAGAACGTATTTGCCAGCCATAACTAAAAACTTTCTACAAAGGCAAAACGGGTTGTACATGTTGTGTATTTTGAAAAACTATTTGTCTGTTGAATGCACTAGTAGATGATTGTGTGCCTAGTTCTTTTCAGATTCAGATTCAAATTTTTTCTTCTATTTGTGGTTGTCATTTTCAACATTTTGTTTTCATTGATTTCGTAATAACTATCGTAACTTCTATCTAAGACTTTATAGAAATCGGGCAAGTTAAGACAAAGCCGTCATCAAATATCTCTTATTTTATTTTTATGTCTTACTTTTTATTGTGTTATTAAGAAGTTGAATTCATTTTATTGAGAGTTTAAAAGTCGTCGACAATCAAATAAGTGAATGTTCTCAAAAACAGCTTAGCAGAAATTTGAATATGTTCCTGGTCTACTTGAATTAAAAAGAGTGTTGACTAAATACTAAAAATTCGACAAAATTTTAGAATCAAAAAGAACTACGATTGAAAAGTATTTTGATTTTTCAATTAAAGAATGAAGATACAATACACCCTGTAGTATCAAGAACACGGTAGTATCAAGAAACTTTCTTATGTATCAAAAATGACCTTAGAGCGTTCACGCAAGCTCTGTGACACTAATATGGAGGACTTATCGAGCTGAACAAGAGCAGAACGTTAAATAGCATGAAGAAAATGTTCGTTTAAATTAATTCAACTGAATGGTTTTGACAAAAATAAAAAATGACACTTCAAGTCTTAATTCATGCAGATAACATGAAGAGGCATAGTATAGGACTGTAAGAGTTCCCGTTACTTCTTCGGCCGTTATTGACCATGGTAACTAGGAAAAAAGTTACACTTAAAGTAACGATAACTGCGTTTCCAGTTACCGTTGAAATAACGGTAACTATCAGTTAGTTAACTTTGTGGTAACTATTTTTTAAGTATGGCAGAAGCACGCAGCGGCTTAAAATAGCTTCCAAAATCGCTAGTTTTCCAGTAAAACTGTTGAAACTTTCATAAATGACATGGTTTTGTAGTCTAATTTCTTTGATGAGAACAAAAAAGATTTCCCAAGCTGGCTGTAGAT